GAACCCTGATATAATTTCTCAAAAGCTTTATATATGTTGGGGTGTCATGTATAGGAACTACTGGCATCAACAGGTGTGGTACAGAATCGGGTAGGGCAACAGCTGGTATCACCTTGTGTCAACTGCGGCTGCCAGATGCTTGAGCGCAAGCCACTCTTCCCAGGGCACAACACGCAGCACCAGCTACAGGCGGGACGTTACGCAGCCGCAACGACTCTTGCGGAAAACAATGGGATGATGATAGGATGATTCAGTTCCCTGATAGGGGCGAAGCCATGGTGCGCCTGTTTCGGAAGATGAGTGACGACTTTTTTGGCAACAACCTATGGAAAACTATGGATAGGATGATAGGATTGGGATGACTCAGAAATGTGGGGACCTCAGCAATTTCAGATCTTTTCTGACAGAATCAGAATCCGAAGTGAGATTATCAAGTGTTCTGACCTGGCAGTCGATCATCAACTTTGTTGGCAAGCCGGTGCCAGAGGAGTCGACAGAGCCGAGTCCTCCCGTGAAGCGATGAAATGAAATTTCTGAAAGAGACATCGTAAATGGTTTTGGTTTCAGATGTTTGACACGATTAGGATTTTGGATCATTTGGAATGCGAGATTGCAGTATGATTGCAACATGTGTTGACCCCCGAAACGATTCACAAAAAGTAAATTTCGACTATCCTTTTTTCCCCAACAGCAGAATGCTTTGGGGTCTCAGCCCACATAGCCTTCGGGGTGCTCCGGGGCACTGCTCGACCCTGCCGCCTCGTTTCGCCGGTTCCGGGAACCAGGGTTCCGAGAACCGGTTCCGGGAACCAGGGTTCCGAGAACCGGTTCCGGGAACCAGGGTTCGGGGCAAGGTTCCGGGAACCCAGGGTTCCGGGAACCAGGGTTCGGGGCAAGGTTCCAGGAACCCAAGGTTCCGCAAACCAGACTTTCAAGCAAGGTTCTGGGAACAATGGGTTCTGGCTACCTTTTGGGTTCCGGGACGTCAAGGTTCCGGGAAGGTTCCGGGCACACTTGGCTTTCGACAAGGTTCCGGGAACCTTAGCATGGTTTCGAGCAGCCAGAGCCTGGATTGTGCCAAAGTTCTGGAATCACCGGAACACCAATTTTGAGACATCCTGCAAACCCAGAGTTTGGGGAACCAGGATTCTGGCAAGGTTCCAGCAACACTGGGTTCCGACAAGGTTCCGAGAACCACCACAGATGCGGACCCACAGTTTGGATATACTTCCTGGATTATGCCACAGGTTCCGGACAGGGACAAGGTCAGAGTTCTGGCAAGGTTCCGAGGTTCCGGAAACAACCCAGGGGTCGGATATACGCCGTGGGTTGTACCAAGGTTCATGCTACGGACAGGGTCCCAGAAAACCAATTTGCAAGGAAACCAAGGTTCCAGGACCAAAAGGGCCCGGTCAACGAGCAATCGCTGACAGGGGGGGGCACAGCGTGACAATAAATCAGCGCGTCTCGGTTCCACAAACCCAGGGTTCCAATATACGCTGTGGGTTGTGCCAAGGTTCCGGAAACGAGGGTTCCAGGAAGACAAGGTTCCAGGAACACAAGGGATTCCGGAAATCCCCCCAGCCAATCTTGGGTGCTTTGTGGCGGGTTCCGCACATGCCGATTCATGTTCGTTTGCTCAGTGGGCGCACAGCGTCGGTCGACTGACCTGTTCTGATGTTGCTGTAAAATCTTCTGTTTGAACTGTTCCGATGTCATCTACCAAAGCACATGCCACATCAAGCAATTAAGTTCGATGCCTTGGAACACCTAAATATTGGCAGCAAACCTGTGTGAGGCTTCTCGAAGCCAGGTAGATGATTTTTTGAAGCTAAGTGACCAAACAGCAACACACAATGAAACTTCAGACACAGTTGTGACACAACAACCAAGTATTGACATGAAACTAATGCTGGAATCATGATGGACAATTTGGCCAAAACCAACTGTTTCACCAATCACTTGCGCAAACTGACCGATGTTGTCCAAGCACGACAAGATAATCCCAAACCAACACACACACACACAATTTTGTAAACAATTAATGACACACCGTGGTCTGCAAATACTGCCATTCGTTTGTAACCAAATGTATGTAAATTCAACTATGCGCGCTTTCTTAAAGAACATGTCTCATCCTGCCTTTGGTCCAAAAGGGGAGGGGGCAAGGCGGGCAAAAAATCGCCGAAGAGACTTAGGCTATGGAATCCTGTTCCTGCCATCATTAATCCGTCTTGGGTTGCAAAGTTGGACCACTGTTTGAAACCAACCGCTGCCGGTTCCGGGAACCAGGGTTCCGGGCAAGGTTCCGGAACTCAGGGTTCCGGGAACCAGGGTTCGGGGCAAGGTTCCAGGAACCCAAGGTTCCGCAAACCAGACTTTCAAGCAAGGTTCTGGGAACAATGGGTTCTGGCTACCTTTTGGGTTCCGGGACGTCAAGGTTCCGGGAAGGTTCCGGGCACACTTGGCTTTCGACAAGGTTCCGGGAACCTTACCATGGTTTCGAGCGGTTCTGGAATCACCGGAACACCAATTTTGAAACATCCTGGAAACCCAGAGTTTGGGGAACGAGGGTTCCGGAAAGGTTCCAGCAACACTGGGTTCCGACAAGGTTCCGAGAACCACCGCGGATGCGGACCCACAGTTTGGATATACTTCCTGGATTATGCCACAGGTTCCGGACAGGGACAAGGTTGCGGAACAACAATTTTCAAGAAGCCCAGCCCAGGTTCCAGAGAACCAGGGTTCTGGCAAGGTTCCGAGGTTCCGGAAACAACCCAGGGGTCGGATATACGCCGTGGGTTGTACCAAGGTTCATGCTACGGACAGGGTCCCAGAAAACCAATTTTCAAGGAAACCAAGGTTCCAAGACCATATAGGCCCTGTCAACGAGCAATCGCTGACAGGGGGGACACAGCGTAACAATAAATCAGCGCGTCTCGGTTCCGCAAACCCAGGGTTCCAATATACGCTGTGGGTTGTGCCAAGGTTCCGGAAACGAGGGTTCCAGGAAGACAAGGTTCCAGGAACACAAGAGATTCCGGAAATCCCCCAGCCAATCTTAGGTGCTTTGTGGCGGGTTCCGCACATGCCGATTCATGTTCGTTTGCTCAGTGGGCGCACAGCGTCGGTCGACTGACCTGTTCTGATGTTGCTGTAAAATCTTCTGTTTGAACTGTTCCGATGTCGCATCTACCAAAGCACATGCCACATCAAGCAATTAAGTTCGATGCCTTGGAACACCTAAATATTGGCAGCAAACCTGTGTGAGGCTTCTCGAAGCCAGGTAGATGATTTTTTTAAAGCTAAGTGACCAAACAGCAACACACAATGAAACTTCAGACACAGTTGTGACGCAACAACCAAGTATTGACATGAAACTAATTCTGGAATCATGATGGACAATTTGGCCAAAACCAACTGTTTCACCAATCACTTGCGCAAACTGACCGACGTTGTCCAAGCACGACAAGATAATCCCAAACCAACACACACACAATTTTGTAAACACTTAATGACACACCGTGGTCTGCAAATACTGCCATTCGTTTGTAACCAAATGTATGTAAATTCAATTATGCGCGCTTTCTTAAAGAACATGTCTCATCTTGCCTTTGGTCCAAAAGGGGACGGGGCAGGGCGGGCAAAAAATCGCCGAAGAGACTTAGGCTATGGAATCCTGTTCCTGCCATCATTAATCCGTCTTGGGTTGCAAAGTTGGACCACTGTTTGAAACCAACCGCTGTTGGGGATCTACGTCGGCTTATTTTGTAGGATTTTACTGTTTTTATTGTTGTTGCTATATGTATTGATTCCCCAAAATGTGATCAGAACTGGACCGTTTTAGCTCTGCCTCTACCAGGAGCTGAACAAGATCAAGAACGAGAAATGCAGGTCGATTCTGGGCCCTGTGCCATGTATTTTCGGCTGGGTATGGCTGGGAAAGGTTCGGATACCTATCTTTTCTGATGATATCCAAAAATAGATCCAAAGAAGAACTTTTTTTCTGATGAAAAACGAGAGAACATGGATCAAGCAAAGATGATTACTGATGTACAAGTGCACAAATTCATGATACAAACTGGGACGGTCAATGATCTAAAAAGTGGGGTGGTTAGCGATACTAAGAAGTCTAGAAGAATTGGTCAGCAGAGGCTGGCTGCTTAGCCTAGTAATTTTTGGAATGGCCACCAGGGTACCATCAAATGGTTAGAAACCACGCCCCCCTTGGCCCACGTGGTGCGCCACGTAAGACGCTAGGCGTTTCATCGAGTCTCTCCCTGCTGCGCCGGTGTGCCAGCCCAGAGGGCTGCAGATGATGATGGAAAGCCAATTTTAGGCAAAGGAAAAGGAGTGCATAGTAATTTTTAGGACATTTGACAGGCTGCTTCTTGCTTGCAACATTAGGCTAAACAGAGTGAGGCACTGGACAAGTTGTGCAAAAAGCTGTTGGGCACCACATGGTACCCTGCCAAACTTCAAGGATTTTCAAAATGACCGGCCGATCTTTCACCGGTTTTTTGGCTGAAATTTGATCCGCACAAGACCTGGACCTTCTCAGGGCCTGAACCTGGAAGACGCCTTTCCTGAGGCTCTTCGGCCCCATCTCGTGGTCAAACATGTGTGAAATCTGGTTATGGGTCAGAATGAGAGCGCCCATTATATAACCATCCGCAGATATGTTTTCAAAAGATCAGGATACAGTTTATACAAACACTTTGAGTATGGAAGTAGTAGCTGTCTATTCCGCTTCAGGTGAACCAGCCGATCTGCTTGAATGGTTGTGAGTTGAAGAGATTTCCAGATGTTTGTTCACTTTTGCGAAAATCGAGAAGCCGTCCAAAAATCTTCCTGTTTCAACGTATTATTGCCTTCGGCAAGCCCGCCGGCCATAGAGAGGTGGCCCCAAGGGAGTTTGATGTGCATTCTAGGTGGAAGCCCGCGAGAGACCAGAAGAGAAAAGGAGAAGAAGAGGAATAAGAAGAATAAGAAGAATAAGA